ATGATGGGAAAGATTCTACTTGAGTTTTCCACCTTTCTGATGGATTCTCTGATTCAAATGCTATTATAAAATTCTTAAACTTGAACTTCTTAAAGTGTATTAAGCATCAACTTCCCCAAATTGATATGTTGTCTATCATATCGAGAGCGTTCCTCGTCATCTTCGGCAGCATCTTGAATTGGATTCGATTTGGTTGGATAGCTGGTTGGCTGGTGCCCTTCTATGAAGTTGGATTCTGGATATTGGATGTTGGATGTTGGGTACTAGATGTCGGCTGTGCCCACTTTGGGCATATCAATTGACTGCTTAGGCGGCTGTCAGATGCCTTAACGGACAGGGTACAACGTCGTGTGGCATGTTGCTGCTGATAGATGTCCGTGATTTCGTAGAAAACGAAAGGCCAGGGCCCGACCCCCTTGTCCATGGATCGGTTTATTTTAGTGCTAATTAATGGGAAGTACAAGGAGTCGTTCTGGTCGTTGCAGCTTAATTTGTCGCGGCTGAAACTTCTAGTATGGGCAAATCCAGTTCCCAGTTGCATGCACCGTGCTCCAAGTGGGCAGCTCGAGATTGACGTGTCATCCATGTTGCAGCTGTGCTTGTTATTGTTGTTGTTGCTGTTGCCGCCGTTTCTGTTGCGTTTGTCCCTGTCAGCGATGTGGTTGTTGGGTCTGTAGCCTGGTCAAGTGGACAACACCGCCGCCGCCAGGGAGCCGGACTTTGGAATTGCTCTCGAAAACTGCACTGAGAAGTGCAACCCTGAATCAAAGTCCGGCATTCTCAAATATTCAATGGATTTGTGAGAAATCCAGTACTTGATGGTAGAGTAATAACTTTAAAAGATAAAAATCTTTTCTACTAAGAGTCATATCCAGATTTCTTAAACCATTCCGAAGGTCTGGGAAAGAGTTTCCTAATTTTTGACAAACTAAGAAAAAATCTAATACTTCTTATGGCTTCAAAAACTCAGAGCATTTTAAAGTAACTTACTTTAAAAACTGAATGTCATTTGATTTTTTAGTTTAAACATTTCATTTCGAGTGTGCGTATGGAGTGTGGCAAGTCTCTATTTGCATATGCGGGACGCTTGATTTGCTGCTCACTTGATGCTGCCGCAGCAATTGAATGAAAGTTTTTCCGATCGGCGGCAGACTAAGTCGAGCTGACCAACGCCTCTCGGTTTTCACCAAAGTGCCTCGCTGAAGCTGTCGATTAGATTGGGCTGCGGCATTTAGCTAATTACCTCACTTGTAGCAAAAGTTGTCCCCACTTTGTGGCACCCCGTTGCTGCGGGCTGGGGCGGCTGAGTGGTGTCCAAACCACTTCTGAGATGACAGCTGGTCGGAAGAGCCGGCTGGGACCTTTGTCATGCGGTTAACTTTCGTTTGACGATTTCTCAGATTATTTCTTAGAATTTATGGCCATTAAAAGTATTTATTTTTTAGTGTTATGGCCATATTCGCGGGTCTTTACTCCTGGGTGTTTCCATGTCTTGCTGTGGAAAGCTGTTGTTGAATTTTATTAATATTAATTTATGATTATGTTGAGGTGTAGGTAATAAGTTCATCAGTTTACAAGTCTTTACAAAGTTTTGCTATTCAATGGAGCTAAAGAGTGATAGATATCTGAGAGGAAAATCAGTAAGAAGTCAGCTAAACTTCGACTTAGATTTCTGATCTTGATGTGTTACTATCAAACCCAATCTTACAGAATGAAAACTTCTTTACTAGCCTAGACTTTTCTTTAGAGATTCAGGTGACTTACCTTATAAAGAGTCATCCATAAGCAATGAACAGTATACAAAGATAGGACTTGCTATATATAATCCATTTCTTGAATGGTTATTATCCATTTCCTCTCACAGACTAAAGACGATGACTGTTAGTAAGATCAAACTCATCGGGCACTTGGCTAGACAAGGGCTCTCACTCATTTGACTCCCGCACAATCTTCGATCGAAGTCTTGCCACGAACCCCTGCCCCATTCCACAGGGTGCCCCATCAATTGTTCACCTCCGTCAGGCGGACACGCACAGGTCGAGCGAATCCCCTGGGGATACATCTCCGATACTATGCAAATGTCGAGTATTCTGTTTTAGTTATGTGCAAATTTATTGTTTATAAAAAGCAGCAGCAGTGGCCAAACAGAGGGCAGGCGGAGAGCGATTGCTGCCATTGTTTTTGTTCTACGTTTATGTTTGTTTTTTGTTTTGCTTTTGTTTTTGGTAGTGTTTGGGGAGTTTTTTGCGAGCTGGGCGCTCGGGGTTTGTGCTCTATCATCAACTGGTTTTGGGTTACTCGCACGCACACAGCTAGCAGGAAAGCCAAGATGCAGCAGCGATCACATAATTCGTGCTGCTGCCTCATCATTCTTATGCTTTTCCAAGCCGCGTCCCAAGATCGCTCTTCGGGGAAGAGAGGGCTCCAGCTCCGCTCCAGCTATGCCGGAGGAAGACGTTTTTGCCAAGTTTATTTTTATGAACAGCGGCAGCCGCAGCATTTTGCTGCCGTTGCATGATGAATCCACCGAAAGAAATTGCAAATTCTCGATTTATGCATAGCTTTGGATGCATATCTTTCATATTCAACTACTTTAATTGCTTAATTTCTAACTAAAACAGTAACTCTTTTGGCTAACTGGTTTAAGCAGTAATATTTTATAGAGCGTGACCGGGAAACATTACCCAACGAAGCCCAAAATGTGTTGGAATTCTAAGTTATTAAAAAAACTTTATAAGGAGTTAGAAGGCACCAATCCGACAGTATTTTTCACATTTTTTAGCTTATATTTAAGCTTTAACGTTAAAGGTTTTCCACCTGTTTGCTATATGTAAACCAATAAATAAGCATTTTTATTTTAATCAGGAAGTTAAAGACTGTTTATAGCAAGAATATACCCTTTAGGACTAGTTTTTTGCTGTACTCGATCTATAACCCTTACAGCCTATAAGATAAAATCTTATAGAAATTTCTTGCAGTGTCCTGATTGAGTCCCTTCTCCGATCCCCCCCAGCAGCTGAGCTGTGTGTATCTGGAGAGACAAGAGCCGCTGCCAAAGAGCTTTGCGGCCCGGCATCTCACGATCTTTAACATGTTTTGTCTCGATCAGTGAAATCATTCAATCAGAACGGTCAGCAGCGCTTCTCCGGTCGTTGCCAGGAGACAGGACACACCGAGGCTCGGATACACAGACCGACTCATTCTACAGATTGGTAGTGGTGTTGCATTATATAAGGTTAAACCGAATCTGGTTTTGTGCTTTTAAGGCAGCCCTCAATCCCCCAGCCGCCGATTGAAAGTGTTTGGAGCGTTTCGTTTTTGTGCCTTGTAATGCTGCCATCAGCCTCCGATCCTGGGCCTTATATCTATATCGTAATTATGCAAGATCAGCGGGGCTAAAGGAGCCCATCAGTCAACCAGTCAAAGCAGAGGCAGCCACCATAACCCACGGAAGCTGGCAATTTATGACACCCAAAGAAGAGCCTCACAAAAGAGGTCTTCCTTGTGCCAGATTCTTTATTATTCTCCATTTTTTCGGGAGGAGTTCTCTACCTCTCTACCTCTCCAGCTCTTCAGCTCTCCAGTTTGCCGGGACGGGTCCATAAAGCATGTTTTTAAAATTCCATTAAAATTTATTAGCATTTCACACAAAATGTGCATAAATAACCTCTGCGAATTTCGGGACTTTTGATAAATCAGCGGGAGAAGCAGGCATCCCAGTCCTGCTTTCTGCTCTTTGGCTCAGTGGGCAGTCACCTGAGCTCGCCGAGATTTCATTTCGATTTTGGCCTTCCGAGTTTCTGAAATTTCGTAAATTCGTGTGTGCCGGCGTTGCCGTTAATTGTTAATTGGAATAAGTGGTGGGGGGGTGGCAACTGCAAGCCCGATAAACAATTTATGCGCAATGCTGTTTGTTTTCCCGCTGCCTTTGTTTATGGACGCATTATCTAAACAAATACGAAAATAACTCATTAAATGCAAAGGCCATAAAACCTGAACATTTTGGTTCGTGTTCGTAAACGAGAAATTAGAGTTAATGCAATCCCGATTTCAGGGCCCCATCCCCATGCCCATCTCCAGCCCCATCTCCAGCCCCATCTCCAAGCCAATCCTCTCCAGCTTTGGCGTTGGGTCCAAGCATGCATGTAAATAATTTGACAGCAGAGTAAATCCCAAGGCGGCCACTCGAGGCGAGAGGTGGGCAACAAGTGCAGAAGGCGAAAGCAACAAAAACTCAAGTGCACTGCTGGATAGTCGGTAAAAGAGATTGCGAGAGAGAGAGAGAGAGAAAATAGAGAATTCCACTGAGAGAATGCGACTTAAGCATCTGAGAAGAGAAGAGAGTGTACCTGCCGAGACTCTTCCCAGTATTAGCAGGTGATCGGGTTAAGAACCCAATCCGCCTTAAAGTTCCTTTCTTTCTTTCTTTCTTTTTGCTACCCTGTAAGAATGGGTATGCTAACTTTGGGCCTATTAGTTGATTCTTTTTATCGAATGTTGTTAATTTATAGATAAATCAGTTACATGCTAACTGTATGTATAAATGGTTAGAGATAACTCCTATTAAAAATCTAGAAAAATCATGAATTCTTTCATTTGGATACATACCTTGTTTGGTGTTAACTGAACTAAAGGGTGTTTATATATGGGCACTACATGAACTGATGATAAAGCAGATACAAATGCTGAAAGATAACACTCAAAATCCGATATTCCCAGAGGAAAACTACATTCGACTGCCTCGAATTACAAGGAAAGCAAAGCCTTTGTTTGGATTCTTTTCCTCTGAGATAAGGTTTACTGTAATAATACCAAGGGAAAACAAGGGTATTCGGATTATCGATCATCCCAGACACCCTCTCCTTTTTAACTGCCTTTCTTTGGTGCTGCTTATAATGCAAAGTGCATAAGGCTCTGCCTCTGTCGCTGTCGCAATCGCTGCCTCGGCCAGCGTCGTTCTTAGCGTGGCTTCACCTTGATTCCTGGCCAACTGGTGGCTATAAATGCCAGGTAGCAGTGCCATTTCACTTTTAGTCTCCAGGTGTCGACGCGGGCGCAATGAACCACTGGCTAAGCAGTGAGCTCTCCATCCCAAGATTCCTAGCAGCAACTCCTCCTAAAATCTAATCTCTCTGTTTTGTCTCTTAGTCATACTTCTTGGGGCGTTGATCTCCATACCAGGTGGCTATGGGAACACGATCAAGGAACGGAATCTGTTTGCCACCGAGCTCTTCCAGACCCTGGCCACGGATCGTCAGGATGAAAACGTGATCATCTCCCCCGTTTCCATCCAACTGGCCCTTGGCCTGGCTTACTACGGAGCTGAGGGCAGAACCGCTACGGAGTTGCAGAAGACGCTGCACGCCTCCGCCAAGGAGAGCAAGGATGGCCTAGCCGAGAGCTACCACAATCTGCTGCACTCGTACATCAAGTCCAAGACCGTTCTGGAGATCGCCAACAAGGTGTACACCCGGGAGAAGCTCAAGGTGTCGGACCACTTCCGCGAGGTGGCCCAAACGTACTTTGACTCCGAGGTGGAACCCCTGGACTTTAGTCGCGAAACGGAGGCCGTGGAGCGGATCAACAAGTGGGTCAAGCAGCAGACGCAGGACAAAATCGAACGGGTGGTGGACAGCCTGGAACCGGACACCAATGTGGCTCTGATCAACGCCATCTACTTCAAGGCCCGCTGGGCCCGGCCCTTCAACGATGAGGACACCCGGGATCGGGAATTCTGGCTGAGCGAAAGGCAATCCATCCAGGTGCCCACGATGTTCGCCGACAACTGGTACTACTACGCTGACTATCCGGAGCTGGACGCCAAGGCCATCGAGCTATTCTTCGAGAACATCAACCTGACCATGTGGTTCATCCTGCCCAACCAGCGTTCCGGTCTGCAAGTCCTGGAGCAGAAACTCAAGGGAGTCGACTTCAGCCTGCTTGAGGAACGCTGGCAGTGGCAGAGCGTGTCCGTCTACTTGCCCAAGTTCAAGTTCGAGTTCGACACGGATCTCAGACCCACTTTGAATAAGGTAAGATGGGGATGTGATCTTTATAGAGAGTATAGAGAGTACCAGGGGCTATCTGCTATGAGGATCAATGATCTGTCAGAAACTGAAATATCTTCAGAATGTCGCCTCTTTTTCAGACTAATAAGAGATCAGAGAATATCTTCCTTAACCCTTATTGCCTATAACGCCTTTTAACCCTTCTTTCAGATGGGAATCAGTGCCATGTTCTCCGATGCCGCCGACTTCAGCAACATTTTCCAGGACTCGCCCATTGGCACACGGATCACCAAGGTCCAGCACAAGACCTTCATCGATGTGAACGAGATTGGATGCGAGGCGGCTGGCGTCAGTTGTAAGTCATTTGGGTTACTAACAACTTCCAGAAGAAGCAAACACCTCTCCTTTCACCCACAGATGCTGCCGGAGTGCCCATGTCCCTGCCCCTGGACCCGAAGACCTTCGTGGCCGACCATCCGTTTGTGTTCATCATCCGCGATAAGCACGCCGTCTACTTCACCGGACACATTGTCAAGTTTTAATATTAATCATACATTCCACTCAGATTAAGCACTTTAAACTGTAATCATTCCATCAATCAATAAACGCGGGCAGTCTCCGCTAGTACTTAGAAATCCATAAAGGTGCACTCTGGTCCGCGAACATTCTGGCACCTACCCTCGTTCATCACCAGGAACACTGAAAGAAAGTCAAGTTAGTAAGGGGTATCTCTTAGTCATGTTCGGAGAACGATTCTCACAGTGTCTATGATGCACTTGACGGGCACAGTTGAACACCAGCATGGAGCAGTACTCCATCTGCAGGTGGCAGCCGTTGAGGAAGGCGCAGACCATCTTGCCCTTGAACTCATCTGGACATGTGATACACTGGGAAGCCAAGTCCCTGGTCAGAGCTAGAGTTTCAGGAAACTCAAAGGCAGTTAATGCTACTCCCAAAAGCGTTATCAGATGGATCTTCATAATTTCTAACCGAATGATTAGAAAAGCTATAGAAGTGAGAATGATTTTACACTTTGGACTTCTCTCTTCTATTTACGGGCGCGTCGAATCCATTATTTGAGGTGGAAATCCAATTACCGTCGTATTTGGGAATCAGATATGCAAGTCACAGAAACCAGTTAAGTACGGGGAGATTTCTCATAACACAAACCTGCAACCTGGTGGTCTGTCAGGGCTCGAGCTAAAAATAAATATTTAAGTAAAAAGCATATAAAACCGAAAATCGTCGAAGACAATTGCAATATTTAACTCGAAAACGACACACCGAACGTGCGACCCCAAAATTAACGGAAAGAGTCGGAGAAAATTCCCGAAAATAATTAACGACAGCTGGATGCACTGTGGCACTGTGGCACCTTAACTTTTTGTCTGGTTTTAAGCTTAAAGGGGTTACCTGAGTTGGCTTAAAACCTTTAACAGATATTTTCTAATGCAGGTCTTAAGACCGTGTGCTTAAAGGCTTAAACTTACTTCTATTTCTTTGATTATTTATGGAATTAAATTTGTTACAAAAGGTCTTCAAAGATATCAACTAAAAATGCTCATCTTGGATATATTTTAATCCTTCCATTCTAGACCCACCCCTTCCGTATAAATGGAACTATTTAGCCAGATTTTATTTTCATATACTAACCCTTCATCTATCTACGAAAAGCTTATCAAATCAAGTGAAATGTTTTTAATTTCAAAAGTAATTAAGTAATAAGGAATAGTAATAAAAATATTTATAGCACTGGGCACTTAAGAACCACCAAATAGATTTCATGCAGAGGCTGAACAAGATCGCATGATTACTCCCGGATGTTAGGATCTGGGATTAGCTAAATGAACTGTCAGTTTGCGGGAAACAAGTTTCCACTGCCCTCGAGGTGGAGGGGCAGCACTTGTGGCATTTGTTTTAAAAGCGCTTGCACCACAGCCATGCCTCATGCAGCAAGCACCATGCACCATGCACCTGCTGCAGTTCTTGCCCCTTTCGGGCTGGGCTCTTTAAAATTCCGCTCACCAGGCGCAGAAACAAAGAAAACTTGTCAGGGGGCAGCCGCTGAGTTCTAACAAAGGGACGAGCAGTCGCGAAGTTTCGGAGGGAGCAGCGCAGCGCCGCGCGGTCATTACAATTGCAGAAACAGACAAATATATCTGCCGGCATCTGTTCCCGGTATTTTTAGATTACCGGTATTTGGGCAGAGCGGAAGCCCCCTGTAGAGAGCGAGAGAGAGCGCCAGCTGGGGAGTTCGGCACTTTTTGGAGTTCGTCTTTGGGGCCGATCGGCGATGGGTTTCAGTCTGCTGCGCGCCTCACACGACTGCTGAACTCGCGGACGGGCGCATGCGCAAGCGAATCGAACGGAACGAAGTGAATCGAAACGAAACGTAACGGAAAGGAACGGGACGAAACGGCTCGAGGACGGCCCCCGCGTTTTTGCGTTTCTACGTTTTTGCGTTTTGGCGTTTCTGCGCTTATCAAGTGCCGGGAATCGGTGAACGGGAGTCCAGAAATCGGGCAGCTGTCGCGTGCAGTGGCCAAGGAGGAAGGAGCTTGAAGTGCCTGCAGTGTCTGTGTGTTTTTTATAAGCGGCCGGGAAATGTGCATCAATTATTTTAAATGGCCAGAAAGCGGTCACCACCCACCCCCTGCCGAATGTCCCCGGCCACATGCATAAATACAATTAGGCCGAAAGATCGGGCCTGGTCATAGCCAAAGTTAATTCGGTGCGCGAACCAGTTTCCGCCGCTGCCGCCAATATCGACAGGCACTCCGCGAATTTTTTCACGAGCGCGCCAAGAAATAATAAATACGCCTAAGCTCAAATTGTTGTCAGTTGGCTCGGCTTTTGGCTCTTGTTGATTTATGTGCCCGATTAAAGGAAACAACACAACGCAGTCAGCCGAGAAACCGCAGAATAAGATAATAAATATAAATAATGCCACAAGGCACCACACCCCCACCCCCACACACCCAGTGTCACCAGTGTGACCAGTGATCAGTGATCAGTGATCAGTGAAATACCTATGAATGCAAATCAAGCGAAAAGCCAAGGCAAAAGACTTCAGCTGATAAAACGCCAGCGATAAGAAGCTCGGATATATCCTCAGCTCCCTCAAACATGGATAACCCAAATCAAATGCCCGTCGAGCTAGAAAGGTGAGTCTCAGGCCAGGATTAATAAAGAACCTTAAATGTTAGACATTCATTCAGCCGTTGGATAAATAATCCAGCCAGTTTCATGAAACTTGTTAATTCTTTCGGGTGACAATCTAATCTCGGAATATCTAAGAAGAGTCTTTTGTTTGAAGGCAATAAACAAACTCAATTTGCATTTAGCTTATATTTTGCTTTGGGATTGCGGAACATTTGGCTGCTATAAACAAAATGATTAACAGATTAATCAACTCTGCACCTCCGTCTGTCCTCAGACATAGGCGTAGTTGGCAATGTGTCCGATGAAGGCGATCGAGTCCTTGTACTTGATGGCAAACACAAACGGATGATCCGCCTCGAACTTCTTGGAGCGCGAGAAGAGACCCTTCAGTACTGTTTTGTTGGGTTAAGAAATTTGATTTAATTTCCAATCCTGGGGCATCTGTGTTTATAGCTACTTACATCCACTTTCCAGGGGCTGCTCCACTCCCGCCTCAGTCACCTCCACGTTGGCCTTGTGCTCCACTGCGTTAATGAAATGGCTAACGAACATGCGGTACATGTTGCCGAAGTCGCCGTCCCTCGAGAACATCGTGTGGACGCCCAACTAAATTTATAGGTTAATATTAGTTTAACTGCTCAGATAAACTCTTTAATAGTTATTTGTAAAAGGAAGCTTCTGTCTTTTAATGGCCTTTCCATTTGTCAATCAAGTGCTAAATAAATTGATTGGTGATCAATGTCATAGAAACCTCGCTTAATCGTTGCATGAAAGGTGTGGCAGATTGTGAAATATTTCTTAGAAGCAACTCAGACAGATGATCTACTCACCTTCTTGAACGGTCCCTCCAGACCCACGCCAAAGGTAACGCTGAACTTGGGCAGCAGCACCTCCACCTTGTGCTGGCTCATAGCTCCGATCTCGGCCAGCAGATTCTTCCCGGACAGCGACTGCTGCAGGGCTCGTAATCCATCCTTGCGATTCGGCAGCAACAACAGCATGGAGAAGTCGGAGTTCTGGTAGGGCAGCTCCACGACCTTGGCGTCCAGAGAGTTAACCTCGGCGTAGTTGAAGTTTTGCAGTGTCCACATGGTGTCTACCTTGACAGACTGTCCACTGCCAGTGCGGAAGGAGCGCTTCTCGGTCTTGTCCAGCCTGAAGGCTTTCTGCCAGGCGGCGGAGTAGGACACCCCGTTCACGATTACACCCTCGGTGCGGTCGTTGAGCAACTCTGGGCGGAGGATGTCAGTGATCTTTCCGTTGGTCTTGGTGGCCACAGCCCTGTTGATGCCGTCAGCCGTGCGCTTGTTGTACGGCGGATGGAAGTCCAGCTTATCGATGTTCGAGTCGAACTGGCGCTGGGCCACGTCCCGGAAGGATCCCTTGTACTCCAGGTTCTCGTTGATGTAGATATTGTTGGCCAGTCGGAAGTTGTTGTCGCGCGTCAGTGACTGCTGGTAGCTACCACTCCGCTGGCTCACCGCATCCGCATCCCCTGGTCCGAGTCGCAGTCCTTGCTGAAGCTCCGAAGCCGTTTGACCCTTGGCCCCCACGAAGGCCAGTGCCATGGAGCTCTGGATGGTGGCCGGCGATATGACCAGATTCTCGTTCAGGTGGTCGGCACCCACGGCATTGTAGAGATCGGCGGCCAGCAAGTTACGATCGCCAGCGGCATCGTACCCCAAGGTTTTGGCCTGCGACACTGACGCCACAAGAACTAAAAGTATCGATGCGAAACATAGCATTAGTGGCAATTTGTTTTCCAGGCTCCGCCCCGCCACTTGACTGTGCACTGAGCGAAATTCATAGCTGTAAGTTCTGGAAATCAATCTATGATTTCTTCATGTGATTCCTAGATTTGAGAATCTCTAATTGAGAAAATAGTTGTGAAAATTCCACAAAAATATCATTTTTATCACCTTCAAGATGTTAATAGAATATAGAATATATATATGTCAGTATATATCCATAATTAATCCTCCATTTTCAATGATTTCCCAAACTAAAGATTACTAACAACCTATAACCACGACGCTTTCTCGCTGTGCATAAACCAGATCGTTTAATTGGGGGCTTACGTAATAGGCAGCTGATGATGACAGCCATGGTCGTCACATAAATTGTTGATGGGCGTCTCCTGGTCCGCTTGATTCGCTTTTGAGATTCTCGGAGCTCGTCGGAATGTGTACTGAAATCGCGGCGATCGCCGAGCGGCCTTACAAGCTGTTCCAAGTCAGACTTAGACGCGAGTCGCAACTCTCGGGCCCCGAAATCCGAAATCAAATACCGATCGAGTGTGTTTACAAATCATTTGTCACCTTTGGCATGCCGCGGGTAATTCTGTTTATTTGCCAGAGATTCGAGCGGGGCTGATAAGGCGATAACCTCGCTTAGAGCTAGCATTGGAATCGAGTATTGGGTAAGCAGCAGAGAGAGAGAGCGAGGCTCAGATGTCGACGATGTGGCCGGCCAGCAGCAGGGTCTTGTCATTGCCGATGGCATAGAAGAACGGGTGATTGATGACCAGGGGCAGGGCTCGTCGGAATAGATCCCCAAAGGCTGCAGTAAAGAAACGGACAGAGGGTTAGAGGGCTTCTCAGCCAGTGCCATGGTCACTTACAAAACGAATCCCCAGCATTGCCGCCTTCCTCCTGCAGCTCCAGGAGGCCGCTCTGCACCACTGCTCCCAAAGGGGGGCAGAACTGGTCAGAATGGAGCTGAAGACCTCACTCAGCTGGACCTCTGATGTGAACAGCTTCGCCAGTCCCAACTGCAAAAGAAATGATGACAAGGAGGTTGAGTTTCTCTTTCAGTTTTCCTATCACCATCCATATTCAGTGGTCCAAAGAGATGTTCCTCATTATCCTTATTAATGGTTTCTCCGATTTTATAGCCTTGCACTTATTTTGCCACTTAACTTTAACTAAGATAATGAAAGTAACTAATTTAGGAATATTTAATGCTAATTTTCGTAAAGGGGGGAACTGTATCTCAGTTGGGAAAATACTTGACTTTTGGAATCAAGAAAGTTAAACTAATTAAAGAATCTTTTTGTAGCTCTTCATAAAAAGCCACTTACGTAGAACAACTTCTGATCAAGAAACCAGCTTATTAGCTGGAAATTTACTATTAGTATCTCAAACTCAACTTCTAGTTCTTAGTTATGATGCCTTAAGAGGGTGATCCCCCTCTTAGGATCTCAGGGCATACAAGCTCCTGTCTCATTACTGGTCCTACAAGAACTTTAAAAATACTTCTCAGCTCACCTCTTCCAGCACTCGTTTCAGTGCAGAGTGGACCAAAACTCTGAACTTGGGCAGTGTGAGGGCCACCTTGCGCTCCTGGAGCTGGCCCCTCAGCTGATGGAGATCGGACTGGGCCAACTTCTTCTCCAGTTGGGCCAGGCCATCCGCACGGTTTGGGAACACAATGAGCATGCTGAGATCGGCAGTGGCAAAGGGCACCTCTATGAGTTGGGCATCCAGAGCGGGCACCTCGGCGTACCTGTAGCGGTGCTGGCCAAACATGGCATCCACCAGTCTGGGACGGTTTCCTCCGTTGAAGAAAGTTGATGCTCTGCGTCTCAGTCGGATCGAAGGCCCAAGCCCAAGGAGCTCGGAAGGTGATACCGGAAATATGTAAGAAGGGCGTGTTGTGCTCGGCCAAGGACTCCAGCTGCGAGGCAGTGACGAGCTCTCCGAGGCTGAAGTTGCTGCGGCTGAGGAAGGAGTAGTTGATCTCCTGGGCCGCACTCGAGGCTGTTTCCCAATACAATCGGTGGCAGCCAACACCCAGTCGCGAGGCCAACGCCTCAAAATCATCTCGGAAGTTGAAGGTGAAGCGTTGCTGGGCGTAGAAGTCGCTGAGCAACCTCAAGCGACAGCCAACAGCAGCCGACTGCTTTAGGTCCGACAAAAGTCCCTGGATGTCCTGGACCGCTAGTTTCGGAGCCATTGCATGGGTCAGCTCCAGAGCTTGCCGGAGTTCCCTTCCGGAGTCCGCGGAACTGCCCGCATAGAGCAGACTCAGTGCCGCCTGTATCAGCAGGGGGGAAACCACCACATTTGTATCTGGCTGGCTCAGGCCCAATTTGGTGGTTAGGCGTAGGCCAAAGCGTTGATTCGAGGCACTGGCTGCCGATCTGGCCGAGAGCTCTCCGTCGACTGGAAACGATGGCGCTATGGCCAGGCCCACAAGCAGGCCGGAAAGTAGTCGCCAGTGGATCATGTTTGGGAAATGCCAAGCTAAGTCTAGTGTTAATGTTAATGATCCAATGGCTTACACTCAACTAAGCTACGCGCTCATTCATGGAAATTCAAATTATATTGAGACATTGAGGTCATTGATTGGAGAGGTCCAAAGCCAAGCTCGTCACTGAAGGTCTCTGGCGATACGGGGGACTCTGTTAGAGGGAGAGTTCCCAAATTCTCTGAGAGATTCAGTCAACCGCAGAGCGGGAGATTCTATCCAGTTTTCTTATCGCTCTCAGACAGTTTTCAAGTTCGCATGCTTTCTAGCTCTCAATTCGACACTGCAAAACAAAACATTGCAAAGAGTTTGTTTTGCTTTTAAGATGTTTGCTTTATGAAATGTGAGTAATTCTGGCTAGGACATGGTGATGCATGTTTAGCTGACTGAATAATTATCAAAATATTTTGAAAAAAGCGAAAATAATAAATAAAGTGACTAAAGTGACCAGATACCAGACCAAACCTAACATCATTCCTCACTATCACTACCCAAACCCTGCACTGGAAACACTTTTAAGTTGAGTGTAAAGCAACCTTGAGTGAACGCTATTAATTATGCCCAGTTTTCATCGGGTATTTCAATTACTCATCTCGCAGCCTCACTGTTCTCAGCCTCGTTCCGCCCCCGCCGTGGGTTGCCCTGCGTCCTATCCGCTGGCTCCCCAGTCAGATCTAGTGCGCATGAGGAAGTTTCGCTCATTTTGAAAAATGATTGAGAAATCCGCCTTTGATTTACGGCCGTGGAGGCGGGGACGGCAGGAGGCTGGCGGTGGGGACTAAACGGGTTTGCCAACTTACAGAAGCGGGCAAAAACCATTCGCTGGGAATCCAGAATAGCCAGCTGCCTCGGCCAATAGCTGGGAAAAGGCACAAGCTGCTGCTGCTCCGGATCGGAATCAGAGTCGGAATGAATGGTTGAGGTCGTATTGGTCTTATCAGGGCGGCGAGGTTATCAAAGATCAGTTTTCCATAAATACAGCTTTTGACTTTATTATTATTATTGTTTCTGTTTTTGTTTTTGCTTAGAAATGCAGCGAGCGAAGGCTCAACTCGGAAACGAAGCCTTCTTATCCTAATTCCTATAACCTTCTACTATTGGCTCATTTCTTTCGGTCATCGGCGTGGGAAACTCCACGTGACCCATGAAGAGCACTGAGCTGGGGGTTCGGAGGGCAAAGACGAAGGGTCGGTTGGCAATGAACTCCTTGGACTTCGGAGGCAGCGACAGTGGCACAAACTTGGCATCTGCGAATGAGGAAGAGGGTCATTAGTTTTTGGAACTTTTGGTCTTGAGAGTGGTTCTGAACTTACAGGAAGCTGCCGAGGCCTCGGTTCCCGCCTCGCTCACATCGATGAAGGCCTTCTGCAGGATCCTACTCACTCGCACCGGTTGGTCTAGCAATTTAGTCACCTGCGAGCTGGGCGAGAACATCTGGCGGATGCCCAGCTGCTTCAGGGGCTCCGTCATGTCCTGCTCGAACTCGATCCTAAACTTGGGCAGGTACACACGGGTTGGCTGTCTACTCAGGCGGTAGGAGATGCGGTTGAGATCGAATTGTGGACGAGACAATAGTTGCTCAAGATTTGCCAGACCGTTGGGCTGATTGGGCAGCAGGATCAACATGCTGGTGCTGCTGTCCTTGTAGGCCAGTTCCAAGGCAGTGGCATCCAGTTCGGGCAGATCGGCCAGGCCGTACACATCGTCGTTGTACATCATGGCCACCTTGGAAGTTCTTCCGTCGGAGTGGTGGAAATCGAAGGGCTGCGTGTCCATGGTGGCAAACTCGCGCTCCCAACGCCCCTTGAAGTAAACGGCGTTCACCAGAAGGGCCTGTGTCTGGGAGTCAATGTCATTGGGTGCGACTAACTCCCGGATCCTGTTCCGTGTGGCGTCCGACACCCAGGCGTTGATCCTGGCCGCTGTGTCCTTCCCGTTCTGCATGTCAACGGGTTCCGTGTCGGAGCTAAAGTAGAACTTGGCATAGTCATCGTAGCTGCGATTAACGCCCCCCAGCATTCGGTTGTAGTAGACCCTGGTGGCCAGGCTCAGATCTGCATCGTCTATGTGCTCCTTGAACTTGAGCACTCTCTCGAAGTCCTGGGACACTTTCATACTGTCCTTTCTGAACTCTCCGCCCTCCTGCAGTTCGCGGAAGGTCTTTCCTTCCGAAGCTCCGTAGATCATGGCCAGCAGGGAGTGCACGGAGAACGGCGAGAAGACCACATTACGCTGACCCTGAGGTCTCACGACTTTATGGAACAGCTTCGCGCTGAAGCGGTCCATGTAGCTGAAGGTGGGTGGCGGGCGATTGGGTGGCGTGGTGGTCGGCTGTTTTTCGTTGAACATTACCTCCTCCACATCGCTCAGGGCTTGTTGGTTGTTCCTGTGGTTGTTGTTATTGTTGTTGTTGTTGATGTTGCCGTTCTGTGACCCCCGGTTGTTTGGCAGTGCTCGAGTGCCCAGCTGTGGTCCTTGAGGAAAGTTATTACGTGGTAACCAGGTATCAATGTATTCCTGTGCCAGTGTCTGGGCAGCCATATGGAGACCTATTGTCAGGAGAAGGATTGCTGGAAGAAAAGTGAGATTAGAATTGGCTCTTTAAGGAGGGTCTGAGTTTTCCGCCACTCACTGGCTTTGCTCGCCATTTCTCTTATCTGCAGTTCCAAGCTGAAAAGTTACTTAAATGAATTTATTCTTCCGATCCGCCGATCAGCTCGTTTTCAGCTGCGCTACAAAACTGATCGTTGCAAAAGCGATCGCCAGCAGCAGAGCAGCTCCGCGCTATCTGGGCTTAGGGAGAGAGAACCGGTCCAGAACAATGCCCGACAACTATGCTCCGGAGAAGCATTCGCTGATAATCGAATCCAATCGCATTGCTTGGCACTGAGTCGGGCTTCAACTCTTTCTTATTTAGCTGGGGAAGCCTCTCTTTCCAGCTGGGAAAAGCCCCGGCAACGATGATTACGATTATGGGGTTTATATATATACATTCTATGATATGGTATATGGTCAACGTAGTAGTTGAGGGGGTGCAGCAGGCGCTACTTTTCCCGACGCTGGCATCCTAACCCACGACTAGCGTGGGCTGCCGTTCTACCTGCAATTGCCATTTCATTGTCATGACTGTGAGTCACCTTTTGGGACTCGGAGAGGGAAACCTGTTTAGTTTTCCGTTTATTTATAGATGCACTATCTCGGGTCCAAATCGACTCATAACTCCTGCATTTCCTGCTGACATTTCCATGCTGCCGCCTATTAGATAACTTTTCCATTTTAAAGACCCGACCATAAATATAACCGCGAGAACTAATTAAGAAAGCCCCAGTGGCGGGAGAGAGAACCCCCAGATTCCCTGCATGCCTAATTATGTAAACCCGCACACGAAATGCATTTCATATCAGCACTTTCCCCCTCATCTCCGACCCGATGCCTCCACCAATCTGGTTTACGGTGACCCAATTGCAGGCGGCCGAATGTGTAAACATAATTTACTCCAATTAGAGTGCCATGCCACGCCCCTCCTGCTCCTCCGCCGTTGGTACGCTAGTCTGCCCCTTGGAAATTGGGGCACAGGCGGAGTGCATCGCTGATATGAGTACGAGTGCGAGTACCGGGCCAGAATGCAATCGATAAGTGGAGTGGATGCCCCCGGGGGAGGAATGTTTGGGGAGCAGTCTAGTTAATTGCGCTGCACCAGGTGGGCTAGGTTTCGGAGTTCGGGTCCGGTTCGGTTCTTTCCGTTTTCCATTCAACTCTTCCGTGTGTGTTTGCTCTGGCTGATAAGGGGTCTAGTGTTTTGCCCGATCAAACAAAGGCTGGTCTTATCTCAGGGGCTACGGAGGTGTCTCCACTCCACGATTTCATCTAGCCCTGCGACTGGCAGTTGTTTCCGCTTAAAGCAGCCAGCTGCATTTTGTGGGTTTTCCCCAGCAACCACTTCTAATTGTCAACTCAAGAACTTTAGTTAGGTAAACAATAACAAATAATGCTTAAAATAGGCAAAGCTGGTTATGAATAAATGGAAATATTTCCAAGAGACAGCTCTTAGTTTAAGCTGGCTTTATATAAATACATAAGTTAATTCTAATGTTTTGAAAAACATGTAATATGAAATGCCTTTTAGAGACCTAAAAGGGTTTAGACCTGACTTAGAGATTAGAAAAGGTTTCAAATCTAAATTTCAATTTAAATTCTTTAAATGGGAACCTATCGAGTTTCGAAAATGAATTCCTTTTTATCTGGAATAAATTATTGAATTTGGTTTTCTACGTAAATGGTTTTCTCGTAAATGCCCTTCTAGAACTGATTTGAAATTGAATTTTATGGAGCATTACAGCCGTATCTTGGTAATACATCTGCTTTAAGCTAATATTTAAAAACAGTAAGTGCTAAGTACTTAATCACGTCAACATTAAGCACTTCTCAAAGGCTTATCACAGCTCTTAGTACTTTCTTGGCACTGTATCAACATTGCACTTATTGCTCTTCTTGTGAAATAAAAAGCAGAGGAAATTCTTGTTAACTCAATCACTTTGTATCAATCTGTAAATTCACTCGTAAATTTATAATCATTTTTACAGAGTAAAAGATTACAAATAGGTCTTAGCTTTTATCTAAAGGATTTTCCTCTGACTTCTTAATCTGAAACATAAGTTTTTCCGAGGAATCTTACTTTCCCTCTGATCCGCAATAAAAAGCTTGTTCGCTTTTCCGAACCTATTCTGACCAATTTGCATCAATTACGCGGCCAATTACCCAGCCACCCCCGCACCACAGACCGCAGGTGGCGACAGAAACCACATGGAAATGTGGCAAGTTGTCACCGGAGTGTTGCCTCAATTAGCGGCAACATGTTGCTGCTGCGCGACCGCAAGAGCAGCTCGCAACTTGCAGCTGACTTTGGCTGCAACTCATTAATTTCCACATTGACGGAGAGTCAGATGGCCATTGGAACGGGAAGGGTGGGATGGGTTGCAGTGCAGAGCGGAGGTGGCAAATGAGGAGCGATTGCTGTCCGTTGGCGGCACTTACAGCAGAATCGCATTAAATTACACATCGGCCGCACGATTTGCATATAATTATGGCGAATAAATCATAAAGCCGCGGCCTGGCCATCACAATATTTGCACATGCAATTTGCATCTGGAGTTTGCCTCTTATGTGTGTTGGCCGTCATCTGTGGCAGCACGTTGCTAACGAGCTGAGCGAAAAGCTTAGATTCCGCGCATCCGGAGCAGCATCAATTAAGGCGACATAAAGGAAACTTATAATTTCCATGAGGCCTGATCATAGTCGGCATTCCTCGTGCCACAGCCTTTCCCTTCCTTTTCCTACTCAGCTCGCAGCTTGCAGCTTTTAGCAGCGTTTATAGAAATTGCCAGCCCACCAACTCCCCCTTTTCTTCTTTGAAGTTTGAATACACTAAGAGAATATTATATTAACTGAATTGTTGAAAAGAAAAGATGGCAAGTTGGATATAGATGCATCTAAAGCCTAGCCAGCAAACCTTAGGATGTGTTAGCCTTGAATCCATTGATGCTTCTATGATGGATTCATTTAAAGAACTGCTTATATCCTCTCCAAGTCAATCTTTTTTCTCTCTGTGCACTCCTTCAGAATGGACAGCATCCGTGGCTGAAGCTTCGGGGGCGGGGTAATCGCTGTTTAAATTTGTACTTCGTGATGCAATCATTCTGAATGTCAGAGAGACCAGCGCTGTATCTCCTGCCCCCGACTCGCCATTCGTATGTTAGGCGCCATAATGGGTTAGCACACACACACACACACACACATATAGGTAAGAGCTGGGCTAGCTAACACACCCACACTCTGGCAGAAAGTTGAGGTCAGCAGCCACCAGTTGTTTTTGGCCATTGTTCGAACTCCTTTTTTGGGTTGGGCCTGCACTCTGCGTGTTCTTTATTGATCTAAATTTGCTGCTTGCAAATTTGTGGCTCCTTTTCGGCGGATTTGCTGGCCGCTTATCGCTGGAATTCCGCTGGCACTGGAACTGGCATTTGCATTTTGGCCAATTCCTACGATTCCGTCCATTCCCGGCCAATTGCTGTAATTTCCTTATATATTTAAGCCGAGCTAATGAGCCCAAATCTTTGGCTTTGCCATCTTGGCTGGCCGTGGGCCTCGGTCTGCCGTTAAAATTGTAATCAGTTAACGCTTAATTGGGGTCGCGCCACGCCTCTTGTTGGGCATGCAATGGCAATACAATGGGGGAATCAGAAACACAGATCAGCCGGAAGAACCGCTAAGCTAACTGCTAATGCCGCCGACCAGCCACTACTAACAACTATGGCATTTTGTTTATTCGATGTTTTTACTACTTGACTTGCCAATATATCAAAAGAAGCGGGGAAAATCACAGCGACGGCCGGGGGGAAACGAGCGGAACCCTTTCATTAGAGGAAAAACTAAAGCGAACAGCGCCAACGAGAAAATAATGATGAATTGCGGTATTATCGCACGGTAATACGCCGTGAAGGAGGCCCAGAACCACATAGGAACCGGGAAACTGGAGCACTTGCGCACGAACAGGGCCAGGGCAAGAAAGTCAGAGTATCAGTCAGAGAGTCGGAAAGTTGGGGAATCGGACCGAGCTTGGGCCAGACCCAAGACAAATATGTAATTGGCCTGGCCGCCAGACACGAAGGTGCGCTGGTATCACGTACTCCTCGGCAACGCAGAGTCAAGCTCAAAATGCATCGACACGATGATTTATTTGCATTTCAAAAGCCAAGAACACCACACTGAGAGAAAATCCTGATCAAAACTGCATACTTATGGGAAGGATCGTTGCAGGGTCTTTAAGAATTTAAAACTCTGATCTTTGTTTTTGATAGATTTCTTCCTAACTTCGTAACTTAATCGCTGTTTAGCTTGGTGTGAAAGAAAACCAGTAGTTAGTATGTTAAGCTCCCTTTCTTTCAGTGTGGCAGAGAAGGAAAATCCAACACGTAACCATGGCCAATTTCCCGAACAACTTAATTGAATTGGGCTGTGGTGGGGTGGTGCCGTCCAACGCAACGTATACGCAATACCAGCTCGTCCTCAGCCAGCTCCGCCAGTCTCATTTGCATTTCGCATTCTGCACGCACAGCCAGCCGTCCCATAGATCGACCTTAGATGAATAAAGAACTCCTACTTAATTCCCTTTGTATGCCCAGCACACCGACCCACCCAGACCAGGCCTTCAACCTTAGCATTTTGCCAGAGACCCAAAAGCCGAGACCCGAGCTATTCATTCCCGTTTCGCAATTAAAGTTGGACTCGCCAAGTCCGCCGAATGCAACGCCCAAAAGCCTCTGCAGCGGATCCACCCAAGACAATTGCATTTGACATTTAGGCAGCTGGGCCAAGCCGGCACAGAAACCAATTTAAAAGCGTCAGGGATTTGAGCTTGGTCTTAGCTGATTCGCTTTTGTTTCGGTTCGCTTTCTGCCATAATCCAGCTGAGGCCCGATCGCTCTCCGCCTCTGGAGCCGCACCTTTGTCGGTTTGTCGGCCTGTCAAACTGGAAAACTGGCCAAGAGCACTCGCCTAACCGTTTTGACAATTTACCACCAACTCGGTCTTGGATTTGGACTTCGAATCAAACTCGCGCTCGAAGTCGAAGTTGAAGTAGAAGTCGAAGTCGGATTTGGATTCGGATTCGCATTCGGACATCTGACCATTTGTATAATTGGCATCTCTAATTTTTTGCCGGGATCTCCTTCCGACCAGTGACTTATTATGGAC